GGCGTGCAGATCTGCCCTGTTGAGATGGATGACGAGGGCATGTCACCTTATGGCCCTGGCGGACTGGAAGATGTTTTGGCAAACTGGGATGATGCGAAGGGCAAGCGACCCCACCTGCTGTACACCGTCTCGTGAGTTCTCTCTGATCCTTCTATATGTGAACTCGAGAAGTCCTCCGCACAAAATGAACACCCAGCTTACACAGACGGTACATGCTAGAATGGGTCACAACCCAACTAGTGGGGTTCTCTCACTTCAACGGAGGAGGGAAATTTATGATATATGCAGCAGGTATGATGTGATCATCGTCGAAGACGACCCCTACTGGTATCTTCAATTCCCGTCGGCAGAGATCGAGGAAGCAAAAGCCCGCAACAAGCCGATTCCCGAGTTCAAGGCCGCCAATACCTTGCCAAAGAAGTCGGGTTATCCTTTCTTAGATTCGCTGACACCTTCATTCCTCAACGTTGACTATGACGGTCGGGTTGTCCGATTAGACACGTTCTCCAAGACGGTTGCGCCTGGCTGCCGGCTTGGTTGGGTCACAGCCACGCCCGAAATCTGTTCACGCATCATTCGTGTAGGCGAGACCGGTCCTCAGCAACCCTCTGGGTTTGTCCAAGCGTTGATTGCCGAAAACATCATGGGCCCGCAACCCGAGGCTACCGCCGCCGCCTTCACTGCGAGATCACTGAGAGAACGAGCCACTTTTACTGGTTGGAAGACCGAAGGATGGGTACAGTGGCTCGCTGGCTTGCGTGGCGAATACGAAAGGCGCATGAATGCAATGTGCAGCATCCTCGAAGAAAATGCGTATCAATTGAAGCAATCAACACCTGTTCGCGATACTGATTCGGATTGGGGCGTCATTACAAAGACTAAGCTGTACGAATTCAAATGGCCACGGGGTGGCATGTTCTTATGGGTCAAGATTCGCCTCGAGGACCATCCATTGTTCAGGGCGATAGGTTCGCAGGGTAGCGTGATCGACGGAACGGCGCTCTCTACCGCACTCACGATCTTCTTAACGCACAAGCCGCACCTCGTCGCTGTAAGTCCGGGAACAGTATTCAGTGCTACCCCGGAAATCGCCGCTCAGCAAGGTTGGTCCTACTTCCGTCTGTGCTTTGCCGCAGAATCAGACGAAATGAATAGTGCTTGCTCGATACGGTTTGGACAAGGCGTGCAGAAGTTCTGGCGAATCAAAAAGGTCGTGGAACTTGAGGCTCTTCTGGAAGAAGCAGGCACACTAGAGGCCGAAGACTTCGAGGAGTTACCGAATATGGGCTTGATGGGCTGCTAGATTTTAAGATGATTTGTTTGGTATAGCCAATCTCAGTACAAGAAACCCGAGAGCAAGTATTCAAGGTTTAATATTGAATATGGAGAAACTTTCACAGTTGGGCAAGCGGGGTGCAATAGTGGGAATTGCATCGTGGCAGCTGCAACAGATCTAACACAATTTCTCATGCACCTAATGAAGCACAACCCTTCACCTTTGTGTTACACAACACCACCATGTTATCGCCAAGAGCATAACTAACTCGTGGTGGAGAGGATAGAACAAGGTAATTCGTGACCTCACCTCGTCGTACGATTCTTGAGATAAATGACATTAGGAAGCTTTCGATTCCATTATATTGTGTTTGGATCTAATGGAATTTTCATCTAGCTTCCAAGTATGAGATGGAAAATCGTAAAAAGCTGTATGTGAAATTATTTGCTCGACTTATCTGGTTTACGGTACTGGAAAGGGTACATGGAGTCACTGGGACCATACGTTGCATGAGAGGGAAATGGTAGACTCCAATACCTATGATTAGTGGCAACGTTCTTCACTAATTGAACCTTTCACGGTGTTGCATGTTTGTAATTCAAGCATCATGGTCATTTAAGGGTGAGGAAATTTAAGGGCAGAGAAATGATCATAATGATAATTCCATTGATTCACGAGACCCTATGAACCCATTACGCCCATGACAATCGCAACCCGATGCTTTCTTATCCGTTATCCTCTAGACAAGCTGCTCACCAAGCTAGTCTGACTTAGTCCTCCTTTAGGACACTGAGGAAGGCCTCCGGCGTCTTGGGGGGTTTGCCAGCCTCCTTCTTCTGCTGGCCAAGCTCCTTCTTGACGAATGTCGAGTGGTAAGGGTTAAAGCGTAACATGATCTGCTTGTTGCGTAGGGGGTTCTTCTGAATGCCAGAGCGCTTGGTCAGCGAGCTGCCCTTGGGGGCATTGAGAACGCTCTGAATTTCGGAGCTGTTGATCAAGCGGGTCAGGTCGGCCTGGGCGACAAGGTTAGAAGGCAGGAGGAAGTCCTTCTTGAGCTCAGACGGTGTGGTGGTGGTGCCGTAGATGCTGTCAAGGGCCTTGAAGGCAGCCGAAGTCCAGACGATGAATCGGCCGAGATGACCACCAGGGGCCAGCTGGAGGAGGTTGAGAGCGTAGACAGAGCTAGTCTCGACACCCGGCAAATTGCGAGTGCCCTTCACGAGCTCGGTACCGTCAACCTCGGGGTCGTAGATGATGAGGGGTCCACGTCTTTGGCGGTGACGGCGGCCTCGCAGCTTACCCTTTCCAGCTCTCAGTTTCTTGGACTTCTTGGACTTGATGACGTCGGCAGAGGCGCCGACCGCAGACAGGATAGCGAAAGCGTTAGCAGTCTTAGCAGCAGCAGCACCCTCGAAGACGGCGGAATCGATAACTAGGGGAACCTCGGGGACGCTAGAAATCTGGTGGCCGCGGGCCAGGAGAAGAGGGGCAACAGCGGAGGCCGCAAGAGCAGAGGCAGTAGCGAATCGCCTTCTCATTGTTAGTTTCCAAGCAATTCCACAGCAAAGTATTTGAGAAGCTCCACCTACTTCTGGCCTTGGTTGATCTTGATGTGCCACTTGCGCCAGATCTTGGTAGGGGCGAACATGCGACCGGAACGGCACATGTTACCGAAAGCGGCCTGGCCAGCACGGTGAGTGCCGCCACCGGAGACACGAGGAATACGGGCAACGGCGCGACCAGTTCCCCAAGACTCGGCAGAGGTCTGGTGGCCGGCCTTCTCGCTCACGGCGTAAGGCTGGCGCTTGTTCTTCGCCATGCCAGTATGGACCTGCTGAACAATATCGGGTCGGATGGGAGAGGCGAAGACGGTGGGGATGGGATGGGTAGCTCCCGAAGGAGAACCATCTTTGCCGATGATGGTGACGGTCGGTCTGGAGGCCATCTTGGGAGTCGCTGGGCTGTTTCCAAATGCAAAGTTAGTTCTCGGAGCCCAGAAACGCGTAGACGGCAAATTGGAGGGCAGGGCGAGCGGAAACCACAATTCTGTGACACAAGTGCGATATGGGCAGCGTATCTGGGTGGTTGTGCGTACCTCGACTTTATGGTAGACGGTCTGGAGGAATTAGTTGGTGATAATTCTCAAGTCGAAAATTGACGGTTAAGGTCCGCAAATTAATTTTCTTTGTGGGAGTGGAGGGCTAATCGATTCGTTTGCGCAGCTATGGCCAGCTGTCCGCCGGTCCGCAAATAAGGTACCTATAAGGTTAGGCACCGCACCGCACAATACCTGCCTACATGTAGTAACCTAGCTACTTGTGGAGTATCTTACTACGCCCAATTGGTCCTTAGACTGGGTAGGTGGGCTTCAACCTGCATATGATGGATTTGTGAGATCACCAGCCATGTACTGCATCTCAAATAGAATTGAAATCGGGATATTGCAGAGCAGCGCGGATGGTCTTGATGTGAGTATAGATCGACTATATGTTTGAGATAATGATATTTCGCAGTCTATATTCACACTCGATTTTTCTCTTTGGTTGTTATTAGTAGACTAATAGCAGAGGGAGGCTCTTGAAAAATCAAGTGGGGTACAACGTTAAGCGCATATAGAATGAGCGGACCACGGGTCAGTCAAATCCATGATTAATCATTTATCTTGTATGAAAAGGAAACTATTCGCCATAGCTATGCAGGGCAAAACGCTGGGTTTAATTCCTATCAATGCTCTCATAACCATAGAGCGTGTATGAAGACTATCACCGAGGGGATCTCACAGCCGAGTAAGTATTCGGCGTCAGCGCTGTGCACGCCAGCATTCGACCACCTAGAAACCGTGGACTTTGATTTTCTTGGCGTCGAGCTCTAAGCCATTGGAGTCGGTTAGGAAATCCACTGCGCAGGGTTAGTTCGATCATGGCCCTCGGAAGCGTCGAGCAAGGGGACAACGCACGCATGACCTTGCGCTGGTCACCTTGTAGTTGGATGACTTCACCCATTTTACTGTCCATCACGACAGTGCCATTGCAAGCAAATTGTTTCTTTACGACACTGAGAATCTTCTTCCTGTCAAACTTATTGGGCAAACCCTGAACAGTGGTCAAGGTCTTGCGACCGTTGCGCTCTACGTTGATCAGTCACACACTGCGGAAACCGGGAGACAAAAGGGCAGTCACGATTGGGGGACTAACGTTGGATCCGAATGTGGACGTATTCCTCTTGCTGACTCTTCGCCTGGCTCGAGTCCTCGTCTGCTTCAGCATCATGGAAGGGATCTAGGCGCACGTGTTGCTTTAGCGGGGCTGTGAGAGTGTCATTTCACTAGGGCAAAGACTGCATACCGAAGGACTTAAGGTTCTCGATGGACATCTAGAACACTGGGCTTTCAAGCGTCTCAAAGGATTATGGTATGCGAGTAAATCAGTCTGCAGAGGGCGATGTTCTGAAATTGAAGTAGGGTAGTTCTTTATAGTAAATGGAGTTGAGATATAATGGTTTGGTAGTAAGTTGACAGATGAAGACGAACTGTGGGGTAAACCAACAGGATCGCGATAAGCACTCCACCCGCCACCTCCCCGAGGTTTATCCAGCCCAGCCTTGACGTTACCCCACCTGTACGTACCATAGGTACTTCAACTTGAACTTGTGATCTGCGCAAGGGTGTGGTCACTACCTAAAACTACACTAGCTATATGAGGCAGTATACCTTTACAAGGAACCATCCGAATTGGTGTAGTGGTTAACATTTGACGCTCTCATATATTGTCTCAATTGGAGACTCCGTCAAGCCCGGGGTTCGATTCCCCGATTCGGAGTACGCGCTACTGCTTTGCAAACTTTTTGGCTTCTTTTTCTATTGCTGCATGTCTTCTTATTGCCCGCTCAACCACTCCCTGGACAGAATACTATGTCAAGCAGTTGACAAAGCAAGCCCATATTTGAATAAACTAGATAGACAGTAGCCAGCCCCAGTATGAGAAACAGCTACACCGTGATATAGGATCGATCAATTTTGGTTATCTAGGTAGCTAGCTACTCACCATTTCTGCCTCTCTTCCTAAGTTAACCACAGTGCTTGTTCCTTATTGTTTCATGTGTATTCATTCCATGAGTGTTGATAAATGCGATAAGATCGAACTAAACAGCATGTATGTACGCATGCATGTATGCTACGCCTTCCTCTTCTTTGCCATCTGCACATATAAGTAGCCCATCATGAGCCATTTTATTACAGCACTTAGCAAATTGATGGGAGTGCACCCATACACCACCACTACTCATAGTATCACACGCTTATCTCCGGCGGTAATAATAATAATAATAATAATAGTACGGTATACTAAGTCATCAATCACAAGGGCAACCAACAGGAATACTTCCTCGTCCACATGCATCTACTACCTTAGGTACTTAGTAGGTAGCAATCTCGTCACACAGCCTTGATAGTGGCTGAATTTTGTGATCATGCTGTTCAGTTCATATTCTCCCGTGCAACACCAGCTTCCCCGGGGCACTTGGCCAAGCACTTTATCCGTGCGTATCCAAATCTCCTGACGTGTTTGTGCAACTCCTGCCGAACCGGTCTACTGTGACTAGATAGGGAGCGAAGGTAGGTTAACGCCTCTTTCCAGTAATTTACAACTCACTCACACGCCTAAGGCATGCTCCCCTCTCTTGTCTCTAGGTCGCCGTCGTCAGCCGCCCGGTTTGGGTTACAATAACAACGTTTTACTGTCAGCAACAATCTGCTCACTGCATTCGAGCTGTTGAAGACGGTCTGGGCTAATGTCCACCGGCAACACTACTCTTGCTGAGCATCCACGCTGCGTCAAATGATAATACTACGTAGTACGTAGTGACAAGACAAGGCTGCAACTAAATTAGCGAGCAGCCCGGATGACCCGCCAGGCGTTGCATGCATGCCGAAACAGCTCACCTACGCTAGGATAACCCAAGTACTACACTGAACTTAGCAACTACTGATATTAATGAGTAGGGGTAGCGAGTTTGGACTCTGGCGAAGTGTGCATCTACACTTGTATCATAGAGGGTTGCATCATAGCTCTCTGCGAACGCATCAGTCTTTTACTATGTACCTGTTCTTTTCCCCCGTCTGACTCGATCGCTGCTCGATGCCACAGTTTCCCCACCAGTCTAGCTCTTGTCAGCTATAATATCGCTTAATGGTCTTACAATTACATAGTGACATGGGAATATCAACATCTTACTACCTACCTATATCAAGGGGTATACGGCGAAACACAACTCGATGTATACATTATCATTTGTCTACTTGTCCATTTTTATCGTGCTGGCAAAGAACCTGGACGTGTAGCTGTGATTTGTCTCGGCAAATTGTGTTTGGAATGTCGCACAACGAATATTTTCTCTTAAATAAGTACATGTTCCAAAAATCCTCAAATACCATGACAACAGCACCCGACATTCGAGACATTAAGAGTCAGGGCAGAGGGCTCATTGTGATTTCGGAATCGAGGCTTTCAATAGCCTCCCTCTCGACGCGTGAATTGTTTCCATAGAATAAAAGGGATCTGGTATTCTTCAGCTGTACTTAGGCAAAAGGCGTGCCTACCAACGAGTATTTACAACGCTGTCCCTGTTGTAAGACCATGACGGGTTCATCGTCTGATGGCGGGTTCCCAGCCTCACGAAACCATTCCAGATTCGACGATCACTTCGGTCACCTTGGCGGACAATAATGGAAAACTCTTCGACGCACCCAAAGATCTAGCGCGGTCTAGCCAGGCTAGCTGCGGACCAGGATAGCCACCCTGGGATTAACCTGGGGATTCCTCGGCTGGCCGTTGGGGCTCTCGGCCCTAGCTGGTTCGTTTACTGATCTACGTAGTTTATGTACAAGATAGGCGGATCATGATATCGTCTATTTCACTCACTTATTGGCAGAAGTATCTTTTAGTCGTAATAAATGATTATAGTACTAACGTCAAAGGCCTGGTATTAGGCGTTTTGGGATACACCAATGCTGCTCTATCATTCAAGGGCCTTGAAATCTCTAGTCAACTACGTACTAAGCAGTAAGATTCCGATGGGTGCACATTATACGACAAGGCCATAATGCGGAGACGAATTATTGTTCTACATACTTGCCTAATTCGGGATCTAAGCGTTGTAAAGCTGAAAGGAAACTATTGTTTGGGGGACATTGTGTTGTCGTTTGACTACCAATTACCAATTCGTCACCTCAGGTACCGTTGTTAGAGCAGACCGAACCCCACAATGCTGGATGGAGGCTTTGGCCGCTTTATTGAGTTGCCCGCTAAGCGAGCTACCATCCCTGCAGTTCTCACCATGCATCTGCATGCCAGGCTGATGAGTTCATCGAAAGATGACTCTTGATGGCAACCCAAATCGAACATCGAAGATATTCACTCACATACGAATAACTGGGGAAATCTATAATAATCCTGGAATTATCTTTACTTTGGACAATATCCAAATTCAAAGAGCCTCAAGGAAGGCTGACGACGATGAGTGGCTACCCAGCACCAACGAGGAACCGGGATTTGATGGGACTTGGTTCGGAGAAAAGATCTCGTTCAGTTCGGTAGGTCCCGTGGACCCTGGAGATCCCACGTTGTGGATCATCAGGTAGCATCACATCCTTTCTCCTTGATACTGCATATTCCACTATACACCTACACCGCACAAGGGTACGTGCAGCAAATATTGTCTCGGTCTCTATCCTACGCCTATTGTTGGCTTGCATTAGTCCATCATTCCACCTCTACGGCTGGACAGCTAGGGGGCATTATTGTCCAATCCTATAATACCTATTAGCCAGTTTTGTCAGTTCTCGTATTCCATCTCCGCTACTGTGGCACCGAAGCAGGGGTCAACAGGCTCAACAACGATCATGGCGGCTAGGGTATGTAAGAGACCAAAAAAAAAAAAAAAAAAAAAAACATTATAGCTACCAATACGACCGGGAACTTGTAGTATTAAAGTCCTTGTGTTTCTTGCCTTGCGTTAAGTATGTTTGGGTTGGTTCTTCCATCTATGTCGACCTCCCTAATTCAGCCAGCCTGGAATGGTTGTCTATATTCCTACTAATTCTTAATACTGCTTTATTCTGGCTGCGTTCCAGGCTAAAGCCTCGCCATGCGCTGGAATATACATTTCTTGTCGGCGACGCTCTCGCTGAGCACGCTGGCAAAAGCAGACCCAACATGGCCTTCCCAGATCGACGAGCTAGAAGAGATCATGTATCAAGTGCAAGGCTATCGCTCCCGTCAATTCGGCGGGACTGTTATACCCTGCTCAAACGAAGCCTCGGGACCTGGACGCCACAACGCCGCAGAGTGGTTGAGAGCCGCTTTCCACGATATGGCGACGACCACTATTGCCGGCGGCCCGCGACAGGGCGGAATGGACGGCTCATTACAATATGAAATCACAAGTTCAGACAACATTGGCCCGGCTTTCAATACAACCCTCTCCTTCATGGCTGACTACTATACAAGCAAATCAGGCGTGGCCGACCTTCTGGCTCTGGGTGTGTACTATGCGGTGAGATCTTGTGGTGGTCCAGTCGTCCCCATTACCGGTGGTAGAGTCGATGCCAAGCAAGCTGGGCCTATTGGTGTCCCTCTCCCCCAAAACTCAGCCTTCACGTTCGAGCAACAGTTTACGCGCATGGGCTTCAGCCAGACTGAGATGATCCAAGTCGTTGCTTGCGGCCATACTATTGGTGGAGTCCACGAGACTGAATTTCCTGAAATCGTCCCGGTGGGTAGCACGGAAAATGGAGAAGGGCCAATGGACTCTACAGAGGCTCAATTTGACAATAGAATCGTCACCGAGTATGTTTCAGGCAACACAACGAACCCTATGGTTGTGGGGCCTTCGGTTAAAGCTACGAGAAACTCCGACTTCAAAGTCTTCAACTCTGATGGAAACGTGACTATAGCCACTCTGACAGATCCAGAGACCTTCACCAACGTTTGTGCCACGGTATTACGCAAAATGATTGAGGTGGTCCCTGATGGTGTTGTCCTTACCGATCCTATTCAGCCCTATGCCGTCAAGCCAGTCGACATGCAACTCACGCTGGAGTCTGGAGCTTCAACCATGCAACTAGCTGGGCTGATCCGAGTTCGCACTACTAACTTCGGAACTGACACTGCCGAGAGTGTCTCGCTGACATACAAAGACCGAAGTGGAGGTGATGATTGTGGTGTCATAGGCTGTACATCTACAGCCGAGCTTTTAGGTGCTACCCAAGGCTTCGATGACACGTTTGTGGTGAGTTTATATCATTCTCCTAGATCCCGCGCGTTTCGTCTGGCCTTTGTTAATGGAAACTCTAGTGGTTCCCGATAAATGTTAAAATCCCAACCTCATCGGGCATCTCCTCTTTCACCCTGACTGTCAATATGGCCAGTGGAGCATCCAAGGCCTATGATAACAACGGAAACTCGTATCTCATGCAGGATAATATTATCATGCAGAAACCTCAAAGCTGTTTGCTTGAGGGTAATCTGAAAGTTGTGGCTGCCGTGAGTCTAGCCTGTATTTGACGTGAATACCAAGCATTGACATTCTGAACCAGGTTCGCAACGACCTTGGCTCTCAACCCGTAAATCTACAATTGTCATACAAGACGCTAGTTGGTAATCCAAATCGCCCGATTCCAACCCTAAATGATGCTATCGTCAATATGACAAAGGGTGATTGTGTTGGCGTTTACACCTTCTACACAGGTACCTATGAAGGCCTTGGAGAGCTTGATTATGCTACCAAGATTGACGTGGTTACCGGAACCGGCGAATCAGCT